CCCCCCCCAGCCGCTTTTCCCACCTGACAGAGGGTTGTCTGGGTCACCACGCTGTGTGTGTGTACAAAAGTCTGTTCTTGTCAGCTTGTTCACCCGACTAATCTGTCACTACAGGAATCTAAAGTGAAATATGCTATGTCCAGTCATTCATGAAATCTATCTCTCTCTCTCTATATATTATATATTATAACAAAAAGATTCTCATCAGGAGAGAGGGAGCTGACCTCGCTGTGTGAAAGGAGTGTTTTGTTCTGCCACGTGAAGGGAGAAGTAGAATCAGGAGAAGAAGACTGTCTGGTTTTTTCAGACACGAAACGACAGAAAGAGTGAAATCAAGACGAGAGTGCTTTTATTCGGAGACCTGAAGAGACAGAAAGAGTGAAATCAAGACAAGAGTGCTTTTATTCTGAGACACGAAGTGACAGAAAGAGTGAGAGAAAGATTCTATAAATGTATCACGGTGGTGATGAAGGGTGTTATTTCTTTCTGTGAGGCTGAATGAACAATTCAGACTTTTGACTCATGAGCTTTGTGTTCTGTGAAGTTATAACTAAAGTATTTCCTTTGTTTTGTTGTATGTTTGTGATGGGCTCAGTTGCTGTAGATGAAATTATCCGCCATTGTCATGCCGCGACTTCACGTATACGAAGTCAGTTTGTATGCAACGACGAAAACTTACCGTCAAACACTGCTATTCCACAGTCGCCCAAATTGAATTTCCGGGGGTTCCAGAGAAGAAAACTGTTTGTTGTTTGACCCAAGACCTCAAGGGGGCATCTGACAAGAAGGGTTCCATCAGTTTCGTAAATTTCCTTCCTAGTTGAAAAACTAACGATTGCCGAAGTAGTAGTTCTGATTGGTAGGGGGGGGGGTTCTCTTTGTCTCGAAACTCCTCACAACTTGACAGAAGTCACTGGGGTACTTGTAGAATGACACGGTTGGTGTGTACTTGGGTGTATAGATGTGTGCTTGGGTTTATATACGTCCTAGCGTGCAGATGTGTACTTGGGTGTATAGATGTGTGCTTTGGGTTATGTACGTCCTTGCTTGCAGATGTGTACTTGGGTGTATAGATGTGTGCTTGGGTTTATATACGTCCTAGCGTGCAGATGTGTGCCGTACTTGGGGTTATGTACGTCCTAGTTTGCAGATGTGTACTACCGTAATTGGGTGTATAGATGTGTGCTTTGGGTTATGTACGTCTTAGCATCCAGTTGTGTACATACTTGGGTTTATGTACGTCCTATCTTGCAGATGTGTGCGTACTTGGGTTTATGTACGTCCTAGCATGCAGCGAACCAAGTTTCTGTGGGTGTTTATTTCCCACTGATATGAAATAGCGTGCAGCTATCTCGGAGATATCCTTGCACAGGTTTGTTTTGGGCGTTGCAGCAAATAGTTGGTCACGTCTTGTCCCAGGTTCCCGGCTCTGTGTCGTCTCAATATCCCTGTCGTGTCACAGGGGATCTGGGAGAGAGAGATCTCGGAGGAGTTTGGGATTTTTTTTTCATTTTTCTTTTTCTTTTTTTTTTTTTTTTTCGTTGCCCTCGTTGATGACCAGATGCTGGTTGTCCCACCCGCCCGCCTTCCAGTCCTGAGATTGGAAAACTTGAACTATGTCTTTGCATCGAACCCAAACTGAGAGGCAAGCTTCATCTCTCAGCCGCCAATGCTTCCCAGTATTACGTTTTGTGAGTGAGGGGCGGACTTCTTCGTGCAAGGCTCGGACATACACCGTTCTGAAACATGACGTGTGGTGGTGCCTTACACTGAGTAGTGCAGATATATATAATGTCTGGGTGTGTGTGTGTGTAGCAGTGATCAGAAATGTTCCGTCAAATTCAAGTTTTTCGTTATTAGCCTGTAAGTTTCAGGTTGTGTTGAGAAAGCGTCGACCAAGGCGGAGCGGGGCGGTTCTCCCAACAGCTGACTTGTGAGCTCGTTCATACCTTGTAGGGTAGAAGAGTTTCACTTAATGGCCATATGTACGGCAGCTGTTCCCTTGTTTTGACACGGGTGTGGGATGTTTTGACACATGTCTCACCTGTGCTGTATGCAGATGCTTTGAAGGTACCGGGAAATATTGCAAGAGGCCCGGTAATTTGAGAAATTGACCCGAAAAAATTGTACGGAAAAGCTTCAACTCCAGGATTTACCCTTTGTTGGATGTGAAGGCTTTTTCAGAAGCTCTGTTGGAGTGTTTTGACGAGGAGACGAAGTATCATTTGTGTCACCACGTGCTGGAATCAGGCACTCGTCAATTTTTGGCTATATGGAGTTATTGGTATCATCTTTAAGGCTGTTCATTTCCTTTGCATTTGATGAAAAAAAAATCCATTTGTCTTGAATAGAAGTCAAGGTATTTGTGATGGAAGGAGAGAAGTCAAGGTATTTGTGATGGAAGGAGAGAAGTCAAGGTATTTGGGATTGAAGGAGAGAAGTCAAGGTATTTGTGATGGAAGGAGAGAAGTCAAGGTATTTGTGATGAAAGGAGAGAAGTCAAGGTATTTGGGATTGAAGGAGAGAAGTCAAGGTATTTGGGATTGAAGGAGAGAAGTCAAGGTATTTGGGATTGAAGGAGAGAAGTCAAGGTATTTGGGATTGAAGGAGGTGAGGTCGCCTGGTTTCAGAAGTAAATTGTCGAGAAAATGGATACCAAAGTTAGGTGACTTCCATACCTCGAGAGTCCTTGCAAACTGCACATTCTCATTTTTCGTGCCTTTCATCAAGGTTTTCCCATAAAGTCCGTACATACGGATGTTTTTATATGGACATACAAGGTGTTGAACCCCCCCAAAAAAATAGAAAACTAGAAAAATTTTCCCAACTGGCGAAAAAATGCAGATATCTTTGATTTCATTATTTTGATGGGTGCCTGATTTCACCACACTGCCTCACATTTGGCAGGGATAGAGCTGAGGTTGACCAGATTTGTCTGTAGTTTTTCCGTCAGCATAGGGATGGTTTCCGTCGTCATCGCGTCGTTGCGGGAGTTTGGCAGAGTGTTGTCATGGCCGGCCCGGGCTTGCCGGGGTTTTTCTGCAAATGTTGCTGTTTACTTCACGCGTGGTCACTTTTCAGCACAAGGGGGCTATCCCGAAAAAAATACTGTTTTGAGAAAATCGAAGGTAAAGTTTTTGCCCCTTGTTCAGTTTCTTTAAAAGACAAGGAACATTTTCTCTAAAACCTTAATCTACACACCAGTGACTCCAAACTTCTCCTATAGGAAGAGCAATGCCTTTTTTGGTGTAGGTCAAGATTTCTGGAAACCCCCGAAATCTGGGTTAGCCCACTTGTCCTTAAAAGTGACCGATTAGCTCAGCGCAGTCAGCTCTGTGTCTGTCTGTTTGTCTTGTCTGTCTGTCTGTCTGTCTGTCTGTCTGTCTGTCTGTCTGTCTGTCTGTTGAGAATGAGAGGATACAAATCTACCTGCTATTGTTGGTACAGCCAAAATCTGTGCATATATTGTGTTGTGATTTCTTGTTTTCTTAGCTTTATTTACCAAACTCCTGTCATTTTCATAGTTTTTCTTCTCAGAGTCTTTCAGTTTGCATTTAGTATTTCATTTTTTCACAATTCTTGTTGATGCAATTGATTATTTTTATTTTCCCTCGTATCTTTTTGTGGGCATTGGCATTCCCCGACCCTACGACCAGAGTCCTGTACTGGCCACTCGAATGTTTTGACCGGGCGTTTGTTGGGTGGGGAACTTGTCGCAGCCGCTGGCGTTCTATTTCTGGAGTTGAGGGACAGCTACCGAGAGATGAAGGAACTCAACAACGGCTGCTTGGGTCCTGTTTGTCTGTTTGTGTTGCGACATGTTGGAATCAGGCACTGGTCACGTTTTGGGTGTATGGAGTTCTTGGTGGAATCATAAAGCTGGTTAATGTCTTGCTTTTGATGGAAAGAAAAGTGGAACTGTCTGGAATAAAGGTTGAGGGATAATTTGTGTGTTTGAAGGAGATGGGCGTTGCCTGGTGTTGGAGGGAAAATACGTGAGAAAATGGCCACCAAAGATTGTGGGTTCCAAAGTTTGATTCGACATTCAAGTGACCTAATGCAGTTGTGAGTGCAGTAAAACCTCTACTAAAACAAACATGATACAGTTGCCAGTGCTGTAAATCCTCTACTCAAACAAACATGATACAGTTGCCAGCGCTGTAAAACCTTACTGTAAAAAAAGGTTGATTGTCCTTTTAGTGGCTTGGATCAATGTTTCCCAGTACAATCCACACAGATATGTGTTGTCGTTTGATCCCCCCACACCCCCTCCCCCCCCCCCCCCCCCCAAGAAAAGAACAGCTAAAATTGCTCCAGCAAGGGGACAATGTGGTAGTCTCTGATGTAGCTAATTTGCCAAGTGCCTGGTTCCAGCGGGACAGCTGTGTCGTTGTTGTGAGCCGTGCTGACAAAATTAGTTACTTCCCGCTATCCACAAACGGAGATATCGGCCCAAAATTGACACTAGGGTCAAATTTGTAGATTTTCTATTGATGCCATATTCTTTAACTATAATAAGCCTTCTATTATTTCATACTGATGAATTATAAAAACTTCACCTGTAAGCGTGGCATATCTTTTTCCATAGGGCTCGAATCCAAGAAGTAATTCATTTTGTCAGCACAATTCACATTTACTTCGTGGGCGGTCGGCGGGTGCTCTGGTGTGGTTTGCTCCTTCTTTCCTATCAAACATGTATCGTCCTTATCTCCCCTTCTTCTTTTTTATGTTTGTTACTCTCTTGTAACACCTCTAATCTTCTGACGCTCATATTATGGCCTTATGCAGTTGTGAGCGCCGTAAAACCTCTACTAAAACAAAAACATATGTGAGGCAGCGTAGTGGAACCAGGCTCTCGTTAAAATAATCCAAGTGAAGACACTTGCATTTTTCCGCAGGTTTGTGAATTTTTATCAATTTTTTTTTTTTTTGGCTCAACATCTTTCATGCCCATTAAAGAACACATTTCTGTGTGGATTTTTCCGAAAAACGTTGATTAAAGGCACAAAAATGTAAATTTTCAGTTACCACAGACTCTTCAGCTAAGCAAATAACTAATCTTTGACGGCCATTTTCTCACTAATTTTACTTCTGAAAACAGGTGCTCCCCACCTCCTTCTTTCGCAAATATCTCGACTTGTATTCAACATAAATGGATATTTTTTTCATCCAAATAAAGACCAGTGAACAAGCTTTAAGATGATACCAGTAACTCTACATGTCCAAAAATTGAGGAGAGCCTGGTTCCCCCACGCTGCCTCCCATTTGCTCTCTATGATGAGCCCTGACTGTTGTGGGGCCTGGGTCTGCCTCATGCATAATACCGTGCTCCTGTGCCTTGAGGAGGAGAACGCAACACGCCATCTTCTCTCTCGTCTACGGTTTTTTGTCCAGATTTATCGCCTGGCTTCAGATTCTCCGTCTGTATGGTCTTTGTTTCGTTAAGGCGAGTAGGGGAAAGTGTTGCAAGTGCCGTAAAACTCATTCTAAAACTAAACAATCTTCCGTCTGTTCTGCTTGCCCTCTTGCTTTCTCCCTGGGCAATGTGTCAAGGTCACCGGCTACTGCTCCGTCTCTCTCTCTCTCTCTCTCTCTCTCTCTCTCTCTGCTTCGTCTCTCTCTCTCTGCTCCGTCTCTCTCTTTCTCTCTCTGCTCCGTAGTCAACTCATCTGCTCAGTCTCATCTTTGTTCATTCTGTCCCTGTCGCTTTATGCTAGAAAAATTCTGAAATTATGCAAACTGAGCCCAAAAATGTGAAATTATGCGATTCTGTTAATTTTAACAAAGAATGATAAAGGAAAATAATCAGAAATTATGCAAAAAATGATCAAATTTTGCTCAATTATGCGGGGTGCATAAAACCACGAGGACAGTTCAGTACAGGAGACAGACGCCTCTCATTGCCTCAGTGGGTGGTTGGCGGGTGCTCTGGTGTGGTTTGCCTCTTCTTTTTTATCTCCCCTCCTTTTTTGCGTTTGTTACACTCTTGTAACACCTCTAATGTTCGGCACGTATATGACCTTATTGTGTTGCAAGTGCCGTAAAACTCTTACTAAAACTAAAACTGATTGCTTCAACAAGTGTTGTGTATACCCGCTGACTTTTGGGAACATCGTATCAAACGATGAATGTGCTCTCTCTCTCTCTCT